AGTCTATCTATAGACCATGTCCTGATAAGGAGAGACAATCAAGATTTAAAAATTGAAAGGAAAACCTCGAGTGGAGAGCACAATTCACAGGCACTCAATCTGCCTTATATTCCAAATACTTGTCCAGTATCAGTTACTCAGAGCTGAGCAGCTGATGAGCCACACAATTGGAACACTGTACCACAACCAGCTGGAGCAGAGCACATGGTCCAAACCAGCAAGGTATTAAGGACAGAGGTGACAAAGCAGGAGCTTGGAAATCCCAAAAGCACTGACTGAAAAATGTTTTCTTCTTGTTGCCATGTTTTTGTTGTTTTCTGTGCTAGAAATAATAACACAAACAAAAACCCCAAACAAGGCTGTGTTGCTCTGACAGGATTCCCAGTAGGAACTCTCTCCAGAGGCTTCATACCTGAACCCCCATCTGAATGTCTACCCGGCGACTGATAAAGAACTTTGCTGGACTAAAATCAACATCAACTCATCCAAGGCAGGCAGACACTAGAACCAAGGTAACAGACATCTTCCAGCTGAAGATCCCACACAATAATTCAATTACATGGAAAACCATGTTTTAAAACAGGTACTTATTTTCCACTGATAGTCATCCCAGTCTCTTCTATAAAATTGCTTCTGTAGACAGTCTTTTAAAATGTATGCAAGAGTCTCTTTCCAATAATAGTCAAATCAATTCTAAGGTAGGAGTTTTTTGTCTTATTTAGCAAATACTATGATTCCATCTTCTCTAGAAATTCAGCAGATCTATGTTCCAACATAGAAGTACTTTCATTACTTGTCATGGTAGCAAACAGCATGTCCATCATTCCCAAGGTTTCTAGGAGTTCTCTTTGGTAATCAATCTCTTTTTCTACAAGTCCTTGAAGTACTAAAAACTTTTTATCCACTACAGGTGACTGACCAATCACAGGCAGATATATATCTAATAAGAGAGAAAATATGACAACTAGAAATCTATGTAATAAGTGAAAAACAGTAGTTAGAAAAAATATTAAAATGTTAAATTTTTATACATTCAAAATCTATACTTATTTAATAATTTATAAAAAGTAACAATTCTCCTGAATAAATGCATTTCAAAAAAAATTATACAAAGTAAAGGGTAGAGGATCTTATTT